TCAAAAGCAATATTCTCGCATGTAATGGCCAGTGTCCAATGACTTCTCTATTGGTAATCAAGAGGCATAAGTAGCAAGAGAACATTGGAGTTCATAGGGATAGAAGAAAACGAGTAACTTTTGTTAATATATGGCATTTACAAACAGTATAAAAATATTCTGTATACTGAAAAGCAGACGACAAAAATATGATCGTATACGAATATCGTATACGACTGGCATATACAACAGTCGTTTACGACCGCCGTATATGATCGGATCTCGTCGTATACGGTTGTCAGTTACGATGGCCTTGTACGACGACGGTTAACTGTCGTATTTTATTGTTTACAATCATATACGATCGTAAATTTTTGATCTGGGTGAAGAGAGAATGAGAAGGAATACGGAGCCAAGCGCTTCGCTCGCTTTCTCTGTCTCACACTATAATTTTCGTTATGGCGCAGTAGGAGAAAGAAAGAATATGTACTCAACTAACTCTTTCTCCGCATTAAAACTTTTACTATGACGCAGCAAAAGAGAGAGGACTGACACGAACAGAACCAATTCTCTCTCTTCCCGCATTATTATTTGTGTTATGGCGGAGTAGGAGAAAAAGAGAAGTCGAAAATATCGGCCCTTTTCTCTCCGTCTTATCATATATATATACTTACACATCTGCTTTCGTTTGTGTAAAATGACGATCTTGGTGTGATCATCGTCATGCGAGTCATTCACGTGTCGTCCTCGCTTTCTCTTCTTCTGCAAGGTCCTCAACGCCTCTTTTCTTTTCTCTTTACCATCTTCTCCTCTTTACCCTTAAATCTCATTGCAAGCGCTTTTCATTCTTCAAATTACCTATTCTAGATTATCGCCTTCATCTCCGTTTAGCACATCTTCATCTCTTTCGTGTATTTGGTCCTGGTGTTTACTACAAAGATCATGGTTCTCTCGTACGCAGCTCTTCACGCCGTTGTCCGTCGCTGGGCTCCGATCATTCGTTTCCAGCAAAGTGAGCCGTATTGGCCCGCTAAGGTTGATGACTTCCTGCCTCATATGATCATCCAGCAACGTGTCGAGACGGGACTGGTGCAAACCGTGTACGATGGACCACTCAACAAGCAGATGCTCGCCGAGTATGGAGCTTCCCTGGAACATACAGGCATTTTACGGACAAAATACGATTTGAATGAGCCTTCGGATACACAGGACTGGATGAACGGCAACAAACCTTCCTCTCAATATCCGGTCACCGTCTATGTAGTTGTCACCAACCGTTCTGGTCCAAGTTGTGAATCAATTGATCTCAATAACCTCAATCTGGAGATAACTTATTGGTTATTTTTCAACTACAATCAAGGCAAGACCGTCGCAAGCACCAGCTGGGGTAACCACGTGGCTGATTGGACTCATGTCAAGCTAACAATCGTCAACAACGAACTGAAGCAAGTGATGTATGACCATCATGGAGATAAAGATCGTCTGCAGGTACCACGCGATCCGCGAGTGGAGTTCCTTGGAGAACAAGTAGTCGTGTACAGTGCATGCGGCAATCATGAATACTATTCTCAACCAGGTCGTTACGATCGGCCTATGGGCACACATGACTACTGTGATAATGGCACGCAAGTGAACTTGCGAGATGGAAAATTTGAGATCTATCCTTTCAACTGGACTGGTCAGGCGTTTGAACGCCTCGATGATCCTACATTTCCTTCCCTTGAATGGCTCAAGTACACGGGAAGATGGGGCAACGCCAAGAGGGGTGACCTATTCCACGCAATCGCTCGACTGGAAAATGGTCCGGAGGGCATTGTACGACCAGGAGAATACGCGGTGGAGTCTCTGCGCGACTACAGTCCATTCATTGCTTTTTCAGGGAAGACAAGCTCGACAAATCCTTCGGCGGCTGTCTTCTACCAGGGTCAGTATCATATCTATTTCAAAGATCACAGTGGACGATGTATTTATCACATGACCAGCAAGGACATGTTGAACTGGTCCGACAAGCATAACATTGGTCATGACTGCAGTGATGCACCATGGGCTATTGTTTTTCAAGACCAAATGCATTTACTTTTTCGTGATGGCGGCGGAAATGGGATGATGCATATGATTTCTCATGATGGATTCCTCTGGAATGGTGGCGAGCAGTACACAGGTCTCGATATTGACTGGCGTCCCTGTGCTGTGAACTACGATAACAAATACGTCTATGCGGTGGCGCGTGATCATGGAGGCAACGGGATCATGTATGCACACTGGGACACTCACAGTTGGGAACATGGCTATAGCGGATTCAATTGCCGTGACATGCCCAGTATCGTTCAATTCAATGGCTACCTTCGCTGCTTCTTTCGTGATGGAAGCGGCACTGGCATCCTTCGACTGATCTGGGATGATAAGCACGGCAATGTATGCTGGCGTGCCGCGAACGACATCGACGGTGCCAGCTGGTTTACGGGGCACACAACCAGCAGCAGCCCGACTGTAGTCAGCTGTCAAAACAAGCTTTGGATGTATTATCGGGATGGTTCAGGAAATGGCATTATGCGTGCGGTAAGCGATGATGGCATCAATTTCACTCTAGCGAAGACACACGGCTACACTGGTCTGAACTGTGATGAATCGCCTGCGGCATCGCTGTCTGGTGATCAAAAAAGTGTTGTAATTACCGCCAAAGATCATAATGGAACGGGCATCATGACGTTAGTTGCTTTTCCCGAAGTTGAAGGTGAATTTGAACTTTTTTATTCTATACTAAAAGAGTCGGCCCACAGACAACATAGACAAGAATATGATACGTGGAGTTTAACTGAATAAGTTGCTGGGATGGGTGAGATGAATAAAAAAACAGTATCTACTGGAGTGTCATAGATGATTGTGCATACTATAAAAGAGGGAAGAGAGACAGAACTTCAACTAAGGTCTTCAACTCGGCCGAAAAGAAAGGTGGTACAATTTTAGAATTAAAATATTATGTAATTTCTTTCGAATTTTTCTGAGTTTACCTAAATTTTTCCGAACTTTTTCATAATATTACGATTTTTCCCGAATTTGGATGATTATACAGTGGCACTCAAAACTGATCGTACACCTAACAGATGGCCTTGTTTTCTTCATATTTCTAGAGAGGTTTAACGTATTGAGGTACGATTTTTGGCAAAACGTAGCTGAAGTTTCATAGTTTATTTGCAGCAAGTGTCACCTCTTTCCACTGTAAACTTACTGTGCTAGATAAAAAATACTAAAAATGATGTTCTTTGAAGTGGTTCAAAATTGATGGTACACCTCATATAAAAATAATAGGTAAATCTCGCCATGAAATACTGCGCACTTTGTGTTTTCCGCAGGGAAAGCAATTTGAACAATGTTTCAACGAAGTTTTACTCATTTTTATATTTAAAATACGTTTGAAACATGTTTTCTGTTGGGAATCACAAAATGCGCAGTATTTCATTGTGAAATTGACTTATATTTTTATATGATATGTACGATCAATTTTGAGCTGATTCAAAGGACATCATTTTTAGTATTTTTTATCTAGCACAACAAGTTTACAGCGGAAAGAGGTGATACTTACTGCAAATAAACTATAAAACTTCAGCTACATTTTGCCAAAAACCGTACCTCAATACGTTAAATCTTCCTTGAGATATTAGGAAAACAAGGTCATCCGTTAGGTGCACGATCAATTTTGAGCGCCACTGTACGTGAATTTCTTCCAATTTTATCTGACTTTTTCCAGAAATTTTCCTAAGTTTCGCATATCCCTTAGAATTTTTCTGCATTTTTCTTACTACTACGATGTTTCCAGTACAAAAACTTTCAGCCGAATCGTTCTACAGTGGTCAAAGTTTTTTTCTGAAGGTGAGAGGTCATAACAGGACCCCTTTCTTCAGGATTGCTGGAGGACCGAACTTTCGTCAAACCATAGCATTGATCCACACAGTGAACATCCAGGCGAACATTTAGGGGAAAATAGAAAGTGCGTTTTTTTAAATTAAAATGGTGGCAAATATACTTTGATAGATGGGCTTTCTAATGGCGTAAAAATTTTTGTTTCGAATCTAGAAGTTGCGTTTGAAAATGTTGAACAGAAAAATACCTCATATATCAGTGACCTCTACGGTAAAATCAATCTTTTATTGAACTGAATTACATTTAAGTTTTCGAAACGTATTATTTGTAATCAGGACTCTACCAACTCTCTATCGATGAAGAAATATTTTGATTTGAACCTAAAAGTGAATCAAAAAAATAACAGAATCACCAAAGGACACATTCTGAAAATGGGTGCTTCAGTTGTAATGAGATATCCACCGACATCCAAGTTTGAAATTAACTGAAAAATACATCAAAATTTTTCTCAACACATCCAGTATCTACAATGAATGCGGCTTTTTCCGGTACTTAGGTACAGAATTTCTGAAGAGACACCTGTTTTCATGTATTTTTCATTTTTCTCGATCAAGAAACGTTTTTATTATGAAAATAATGTGATATTAGGTATCAGTGCGCAAAACTGCACCGAATGATGTATAATAAAAAAATATCTTTGAACAGAAAACCGTTTTTCAAAAAAATGTGGGCAAGAGTCTTCCTTCAGGTACTTTCGGGCGAAAAATATTTTTTGAAAAAAAATGTTTTTTTATTAAAAGGGATCCTCTTAGTGATATACGATCACTTCTGAGCAAAAAAATCATTTCCGAGCAAAAAAGTTGCATGTCCGCCTGCCCTAACAGAAAATGCCCACTGTACAACTTCAATAACTCCATATTACTATATGTATTTCACTCAAATCAGAGACAAAAAGTTTTCCAGATATCCCGCAGAAGGTACAGGTCTCCAAAACCACGATGTCAAATCAAGATAAATGATTATGCTCACGTTTTAGCTCATAAGTCACTTGTTATTTTCATGTGATTTGTTTTTGAAAATATCGTGAGATGAAAAATGGCCTTATCGTACCTTCGCTCCTTTCGAAGTGACGGCAGAACAGTTCACATCATTTTATCATCATGATTCTAATTTCAGGATCCATCAATTCACCGTCACACGATGTGAAACCGCGGCAAAACATCACGGATTATGGTTATAGTGATCGATTTCAACAATGGGTTGACGTACAAGGAGACGGTGTTTCAAACGATTATGCACGTTATGTTGGACCATGTAATGAATATCCACATGTGTGGTTGTCGGTTGCACTAGCTGGTGGAACGGATCAATATACAGCGCCAAATGTTTACAAAGAAGTCGACGGAATCGTTACACCAGGCTAGAATAAGAATATTACTTCCGAATTCCACGAATTCTGGCTCATGTATCAAACCTCTTACCATATTAGAAGACTTCGGATCTTCTATTATGTCTAAGTGTACAAGTTTTCTGGAGAGTCTTCTAGTATGCTGTACTATTTGTTTAAAGTTTGACATGCACAAGTGTTTCGGAGTTTTGTCATTTTGGGAAAATTTTCAGTCTAAAACTGATTTAAATTTACAGTTTTACGGAAATTTATGCTTAGAACGATGGAAATTTCGAAGATTAAGGTGCAAAATTAGTTAATAAAAGTTTTCGGAAATTACTTTACAGGGAAAGCCCTAGCACAAGAGGTCATCAGAAGGTTTTCTATTTTGGAACGAGATTTACATAGCTAAAAGTTTTACTCTTGGAGTAAGTACACCTCTTGTGAGTTCCTTAAGATCGATTGTAAGACTAGATTTTTTTCCAGTGAGAATGTTTTGCTGAGTGTACTGTGATAGTGATAAATTTACACTGAAAGTTTTCTTGGAGTGTACGTAGACTTTCAAAAAGAACTTTATCCATTTTGTAATTTCAATTTTTGCAATTTTCAAGTTTGCGGTGCAAAATTAGGTGTGATTTTCGTTTCGTTTCATTAAAAATTTCAAAATTTAATTGTACGGAAAAGTGAAATTTTCCACAGCATTTTTACCATTCACTTCACTCTCAAAAAGTCCATCCAGGAGACAGAATTTTGCTATCCAATGAAGTATCTATCGATACGTTTTGACACATTCATCTTCGCAACTCGCCGATCACGCTCAAAACAACAGGACATAGCATAAGAGTCTCAAAAAACATCCATGATACCCGATAAGACACGGACAGCCATCTCAAAACTCACTTCCCAAGATGACCAACTCCGACTCCAGCTTCCACACCGTGTTCGTTTTTGAACCACCATTGCACCTACAACTTCACCATTGTCAGCTTTCCTTAGGCATCGTTTTGTAAAGAAACTTGGATCTTTCTGCTTGATCATTCGGAATTCGATCTGTATATGAGTACAATCATTGAGAACCATAGATTCTTCAATAGATCAAGATTACATTTAACTGAGGACAGTTTTGGCACCATGTCTTTTACGAGACGATTTCGAATAGGCCTCGTGAACAGTACCCCATAAGAAAACACACTTTCCATTAACATGGACGTCACTGGGAAATACAACACTCGTAACGCGAGCATGTGCAAATGGGCAAATTGTTTGTATTTGTCAAAGATAAGTCGTATGTCGATACGTGTGTCTTTAAACAACGATGCGATTACTTTGTTGATTCCTTTTGATAACACTTCCTAGTTTTCTGTCAATCTTTTGCGGCAACCGAATACTTTCGTATCAGCTGCGTTGCTAACAGTAGGCGCACGCACTTATTCGGTCACTACCACCGTGGACTTTTGTTTCACAACTCGTCTGACAAAGAGTCGAGCTAAGACTTGACGACATGGTGGCATCCGATTCTTCAGTTCTGATCTAATATAATGACAGTCGAAACGAGAAACAAAATTCAACGATGTTTATATGTGAAGACCTAAGTCGTTTTTTTCCATAATTCTCTGCAGATACTCTTCATTCGACATAATCACATCGTGTGCTGACAGTAGTATTTGTATATCAGTGTATTGAGGAGAGAGTAGAATAGAATAGGAGATACAAATGTCCGATATTCACTGCCCATCATATCACTCATTGAACTGCATCTGTTGGCTCTTGCTAGTCAATAGAAGGTTTGGAACCTACACGCTTTTACAGAGTTCCTATCGACCATTAATCAGTGATGAAACATGCATCGGTTGTGTAGTACCCCGCTAGTTTCCGCGTGAATAAACCAGGATCTAGAAGTCGTCACTTTTCTTCACCACGTAGATTGTATCTGATACTACAATACTGCGCTATATATATCTGATGTTATTGAACAGAAGAGCTGAAGGTCGACTGCTACCTTAAATACTGACCAAGCTGACACACTCGCGAGGAGTAGTAGAACTTTTGCACAATATCATTATTATCATCATCATTCAATATTGAAAAACCTAGGTGCTAATGAAGCTTAAAAAAACATCCGAACTTAGAAAATTTTAAAAAATTAGTGTTCCTTGAGAAATAAGCAACACTATGCAACGAATGGATCGTTTACTTAGTCAATAAACAATAGAGCGAAGCATTTAATTAAAATTAATTTCTTTTGTAAAAAATAGCGACAAAACCTACAAGTGCGTATAGGGAATCTCTGATTCGACTGACTCTATAGTGATATTGTCACATGAAAACTTTCGAACAATTCTCAGAGCTTAGTCAAGAATGTCAGAAAGTAAAGCAGACTTTTTTTTTCACTTGCGTACTTTAGGTCAAACTCATTCCACTCTATCATGGGAAAATGTCGAAAACGGTACTGTTCCTGCAAATGCTGTGTCTGGAGGATATGAAACAGATGGCCGAGTAGTTTATGTTGCCCGTCATGATCATGTTGGTAACCTCATACCAGGAAAAGTGGTTGAGCCGTATTGTTTTATTCCATATGACACCCAAGAACATCAGTATAAAATGTCGTATCAGGTATTAACAAATACTCATCAGTGTATTCTTGAATGGGTTCAAGCATCGAATGGTCAAGTACCACCCCATGCAGTATTAGGTGGACATCTGGCGAATAGTGAACCATTGTATATTGGTCGCGTCAATCATCAAGGTTCACTGGTACCAGGTAACATTCAAGCAAGTCGCCATTGTTTGTGTATTCCCTATGATTATCAAGCATGGGAATATAAAAACTATGAAGTATTGTGTGTCAAAACAGGTACAGGTAAATAAAATACAGTGTCATATGTAAGAGTCTGATGTTATGACTCATGGCCAAAACTAAGCAGCGAGATAGAATACCACAGAACAGAACAAAAGATATCGCTTCGTGGGACTCGAGCCACGCATCTTCTGTTTCCCGGACAGACGCACTATCATTATACCAGAAGAGGCATTTTCTTTCCCTTTTACGGTCGTAGGGGAGGACTACGGACGGAACATCATACTTTTATCTTATGGTGCCTTAAAAATTCTCGAAGACAAATAGAACAAATTTGAATTTACTTTTCGGGAATGTCGCGGAAAGTCTTCAGACCATTAGCATAGCGAAACATCTTGTATCTAACGAAGGAACCACCCCATAATGATCAAAAGCTTTTATACTGATATTTTGACCATGATTCGCACCTGAGGCGACTAGAAACAACCCAGAAGGATAAGAACTCATAAGCCTTCCTTCTGCACTTATGACCATTTTTATTGTGTTTTCGACCTATAGCAGGTTATTAACAAAAAGTCCAATGACGAGATTTTGATCTAAATTTCGTCCATATGTAGGTCTCATGGTCCTTAGCATACCCTGAAAGTTTTAGTGCAAGCGAGTGTTTTCTTCCAAAAATAATGAATTTACAAAAAAAATTCACGTTTCATAGAGAGGTAAGGAGGAACGAGTTTCTAGAAAATTCAGTATCTCGCAAGGGAAACATTTATTTTCTTTAAACTTTTAAAATATTCTAAGGATTTGAAGATCTACATATGGGTGACATTTCATGTCAAAATTCTACTTCCCACTGTTTTAGAAATCCCTTACCATTGGTCGAAGCACAGTGGAATGGTCATAGTTGCGGAAGGAAGGCCTACAGAGCCTCATCCTTTCGGGGTTTTTCTAGTCTCACTAGGTTCTACTTATTGTCGAAATATCGATTTATAAACTTTTGGTCATCTGGGCCGGCTCTTTCATAAGATCTTGATTGTACACTGTGCGACTAGAATAAGATACAAAAAAATTACGCATCAAACATACTGTTAATAGAACAAAGGCGACGATTTTGCAGACGCGGGATCTAAAAACCTTGCCGTTTTCAACCAAATTGAATCGTTAAAGCTGTAGTTGTCCTTTAAGCTTTAATACAATCTATCAACGTTCGTTAATCCATCCAATATCAGAGTATCTGCTGAAGAAACATTGCAATGGAGAAGTACGACTTCATGAAGCAGCAGCACTGCAAATAAGAGTGGACTCGGCTCAGTGTATTCGTGTAGCTCAACCAAGACATACTTGAAAAAACTTTCTAGACAATAAAAAAAACTGAAAACTTACACGGTTAATAGCTCGAAGCATGAAATAATCGTATTTGTTTTTCGATAGAAAGTGAAATTCAGTGATTGTTTCCTTTATTCTCTGAATATTTCAAGGTCAGAATCGTTGTATAAGTGCGATATAGAAATTCTTTTGAGTTCTTTAATTGGAAAACGATTAATCATTCAAAATAATGGTCTCCAATATTAGGTGCTCTTGACATATTTACAGTAATAATCACTAACAAATAACTGAGTAATTGTCTTAATTGTGAATTATAGCCCTTAGATAAGAAAAACTTCCACATCTTATCAAATCAAACATAAAATGCAAAAGAAGTAATGCATCCGAAGAGCCAGCGATTGTTACGAACATAATTTGTCATAACGCTTGATGCATTTTCAAGATCCTAAGGATGTGGTCAAATTTGCGTGACCAATATCTCTCGAATTGAAGGATCTGAGACCCTGATTTTTCACTGACAACACAACTCGTTGAGTTCTTCAAGACAGGATATATATCAGCCAATTTCAAGACCTCATCTGCTTTCATGGTTGTGACCCCATGGAACAACCCACTTCTATCACTATATAGAGGTTATGGGTTTTGATTAAATACTCTATGTCACATCATACAACACTAAAACTTAGCCATAATTTGAGCCAGAAAAATTAGCTAAAAATCCATAGAGATGTCAATATTTCTGTTCGTTGGAGCTTGAGTTTTCGAAAAACGCGGAATACATTCAAAGCAGCTGTCATATCTTTCTGAACACTATGATCAGTTCAGATTATTAGCGTAATCTTCTAAGACTAAGCTGAATTGCGTTTCGTGTTCCAGCGAATAGAAATCCGAGACAGACATCACCACGACTCACTGTAAAAAAACGCGTGCTATAAAAACAGAAAAAGGATTCGGAAGAACTGAAAATTTTCTTTCTAGAGCGCTTTTATAAATTCTAATCATCGTTGTTTCTAGCGAAACAATCAGAGTTTTTTAATCATGAAAACCCATAGAGTTTTAGTCAGCATGCGAGAATCTTTAGTGTTTACAAGTTGCACTCCTGAATACTTCCGAGTTTTTCAGATAACATTCTTCGAAATTTTGAAAAGATTCAACAGAAACTCTAGACACATCATTGTTAATAGGTTCTTGATCGTTCTGAAAATTTACCAACAAATCTTTTTCTCTTGGCAAACCGCTTCGGAATCTCTGGAATAGGTTTGTTTTAGAATGTATTAATTAACGTCACTTGGAACAAAGCTCAAAGATCTTTACGTTTCTGTGAAAATGTTCATTCGCTTATAAGAAAAACACAAGGGAAGATAAATCTTGACAGCAAAGAAGACTCACACTACATTTTCAAAAAACGTTTTTTGGAAGGAGCCAAGAAAATGAAGCAATTTCAGTAAAGGAAAACAAAAAAGTTTCAAAATGAGAGTCTAGCTTCGTCACCAGTATATACTATTCTGCATAAGAAGCTACGCGCTATGGCTGAGTCGTTAAGTTGTTTGAAACATACTTTAAAGGCACTGCGTTGGAGTCTCTGTACCACCAGTGATAAGATGACCCTGAGCAAGTGACTAACGGCTGTGTGCTTCGGATCACCCGCCCGATAGCATGCTCCCTACGTGTGACATACACTAGTCCTCGGGCTAATATGTGGTTAAACAGTACGTATAGGAAGCTCAAGCAATTAAACAAAATAAACTCTGAGTCAGGCTGGTTTTCTCTCCAGAGTTACGCCTGGTGACTATTGTCGGATTTTTTTTTAAATGCCAGCCACCATTTCTTGAATAACTCTTCACCATTGATAGCTATCGAGTTCAGGTTTTAGCCATTCGATAGAGCGGCGCGGGAGACGTCTATCTATATGAGACTCATTAGGACCAAAGAAGTTTTTTATGGGTAAATATTTAATTGATAAGAGTTTTCGTTACCAATTTTCATTAGTTTTCATAGAGACTTAGACTCGAATTACACCAAAATGTAGCTCGAAGGATCCTGAATTTGTGTTAACATCTCAGGATTTTAACGAACTATCGTATTTGAGATAATGACAGAAAGAGCTGAAAATTTTATCACAGATACAGTACCCTCCGAGCTACATTTTGGTGTAATTCAAGCCTAAGTCTCTATGAAAACTAATGAAAATTGGTAACGAAAACTCTTATCAATTAAATATTTACCCATAAAAAACTTCTTTGGTCCTAATGAGTCTCATATAGATAGACGCCCCCCGCGCCGCTCTATCGAATGGCTAAAACCTGAACTCGATAGCTATTAATGGTGAAGAGTTATTTAAAAAATGGTGGCTGATATTTTTAAAAAAATCCGACAATAGTAAGGGATGGATGACCATCTTCGAAGCTTGTCAACTGTCGAGAAGATATCAGGCTTACCGAAACTTCTCACGGGCAGCGCCCTATACCGCAAGGCTAGCCGAAAGACGGGGTATTCTTCGTTCTTTCTTCCTTCCCGCATGAAAAAACTTTTTCTTGAGCTTTACGATAAAATATCTTTTACCTGGAAGAGCAATAAAAGAAGGCGAAGATGTTCAGTACAATATTGCAGTTTTACTCAGTGCATATTATGCAATATCGAGCTTTAGTCAGTTTTTGGGCTAATAACCAGAGAAAAATGTATGGAACTTATAATGAAGTCCATTATTGCAAACTAAAGAATAAGAAAAATTCTTTTTGACTTAACGTTTTCGCGGCAGGTGTCTCATATATGGGATGATGATATTTTTCCTTCAATATGGGTATCAAATTGTACTCGAAGTTCAACTGGATACTTATATCTAAGGAGCTCTTTCTATTGGAACGAGAGAGACTGGAGGCGTTGAAAGTTATCCAGTAGAGACCCACTTTAGTGCAAAACTTTCAACGTCCTCATGTCTCTGAAAAATCTTAAAAAAACTAAGTTTGTTCATACACTGACATACTTTTAGATAAAAATTTCGTTATGAAGAACGGAAGTCATTTGGTGCTCAAGCTCCTAGCAACGGAAGCGATCTCTTTGACTTCCGAGCCCGCGAATCGTTTTACAAACTGTAATAGAGATATCGGGTGTATTGGTTTGAACCACTTTTCGGTTAGATTGGCCTAACATATGGTACAGTATTAACCGACTGTGAATCTCTAACACAACTTGTACATCATGGATTGAAAATTTTGTTTCAGGTTACAGATGGGTAATCAATGGGTAGGTTTTTGTCAGGTCATCGATTAGGTTGCAAGCGACGGGACTCAACGCATAGATCCGTGGGTGGAAAGTCGAAGAGACACTCTATCTTTACCTACCTATTGGATCATGAGTGGGATGCGGACTGGCCAAGGGTTAAAAACCTGGTCGGCATCATCTTTGGACTATAATAAGGAGTATTTTTTGCATTAAAGGCAAACAAGTTTTTCACTAAGAACTCCACCGTGAAAAGGTTAAAGGTAATGCGAAATAATAATAATGCGTATTATCTTTCGTTTTAGCTTAACAAAATTATATTGGAAGGCGATAATAAGGAAACTTTGAATACGACATGATTACAATACACTGTCCATGATAATATTCTTTATAAATCGATTATGTTCTCTTGTTTATTACTAACTTAAAAATAAAATAATCTATGAATGCAAAGCCATTTTATTAAAAAAAGATGAAGAAACAATTGATATTTGGTTAGAGCAATCTCACTAATGACTACTTCCAAAAT